GAATGAGTGAGATGGCTGGGTGTGAATGAGTGAGATGGCTGGGTGTGAATGAGTGAGGACTGGATGTGAATGAGTGAGATGGCTGGATGTGAATGAGATGATTGGGTGTGAATGAGTGAGACTGGGTGTGAATGAGTGATGGCTGGTTGTGAATGAGTGAGATGGCTGGGTGTGAATGAGTGAGAAGACTGGGTGTGAATGAGTGAGATGGCTGAGTGTGAATGAGATGGTTGGGTGTGAATGAGTGAGATGGCTGGGTGTGAATGAGATGGTTGGGTGTGAATGAGTGAGATGGCTGGGTGTGAATGAGATGACTGGGTGTGAACGAGTGAGATGGCTGGGTGTGAATGAGTGAGAAGACTGGGTGTGAACGAGTGAGATGGCTGGGTGTGAATGAGTGAGATGGCTGGGTGTGAATGAGATGGTGGGCACACAAGTGTAAGCCTGCAGGTGTGCTGTGTGAGATGGGGGATCTCGCTATGTTGCCCAGGCTGGTCTCAAACTCCTGGGCTCTGGCAGCTGTGGGTGCTGGCAGCATGTTCACCTGTGTACTCCTGTGTGTGTGGCCAGGAGGAGGGGTCTCAGGGTGCAGATGATGACCTGGGCTAGATTGCAAATGACAGTGGGCACTCCTGTACCTACAAGTGTGTGTCTCTGTGCAGATGCACAGGTACAGATGCCTCCCCAGGCGAGGGCCTCTGGGACACAGGCACATGCATTGTGCACACCCAGCCCCCTCCCTGTGCCCTCTGCCACACCCACATCACCCCCACCTGGTCGCGTCCGTGCCAGAGACAAACCAGTTAGGTGACCCCCGAGAACAGAGAGGCCCATTGTTCATGGCTGCTAATCAGCCCTGCCTGCTGGGCCCCCTCCGCCGATGGCCCCCCGATTTCCTGCCCTCCACCAGAGCTCTAGGTGGGGAGAGTCTGAAGCTCCAAGGCCTCCGGGGGGTCCTGTGACCAGGCCATGCTGGGGCTAGGCCCTTGGTAGAAACAGACCACCACAGCCCAAGGCTTGTTCTAGTCCAATGGGGAAACTGAGTCACACCACTCTAAGACTTGTATGTGTGGACAAGCAGGGTAGAGGGGGTCCAGAGAGGTCCAGGGCCCGGGTAGGTTTCCTGCCTGTCTCCCCCCTCCTACCACCAGCATTCAAATGCCGGCTCTATGACCTCGGACAGGTCACTTCCCAGCTCTGGGCCTGTTTCCCATTCATACAGTGGGGATAAGGGTATGACTTGCAGCCAGGCGCAGTGGCTCATGCCTGTAATCCCAGCACTTTGGGAGGCCAAGGCAGGAGGCTCGCTTGAGCCCAGGAGTTCAAGACCAGCCTGGGCAACATGATGAGCCCTCATCTCTACAAAAAATTTAAAAATTGGCCGGCGTGGTGTCTCACGCCTGTCATCCCAGCACTTTGGGAGGCCAAGGCAGGTGGATCACCTGAGGTCAGGAGTTCGAGACCAACCTGACCAACATGGTGAAACCCCATCTCTACTAAAAATACAAAAAATTAGCTGGGCGTGGTGGTGCATGCCTGTAATCCCAGCTACTCGGGAGGCTGAGGCAGGAGAATTGCTTGATTGAACCTGGGAGGTGGAGGTTGCAGTGAGCTGAGATTGTGTCATTGCACTCCAGCCTGGGCAACAAGAGCGAAACTACGTCTCAAAAATAAAAATAAAACATAAAAATTGGCTGGGTGTGGTGGTGTGGCATGTGCCTGTAGTCCCAGCTACTCAGGAGGCTGAGGCAGGAGAATCGCTCAAAAAACAAACAACAACAACAACACAAAAAAACAAACAAAAAAATTACTTAGGCATGGTGGCACGTTCCTGTAATCCCAGCTACTTGGGAGGCTGAGGCAGGAGAATCACTTGAACCCAGGAGCTGGAGGTTGCAGTGAGCTGAGATTGCACCATTGCACTCCAACCTGGGCAACAGGGTGAAACTGCATCTCAAACAACAACAACAACAACAACAAAAGAACACACACAAAGGAATGAAGGGGATGGGTTTGACATCTGACAAAATGCTGCTGCTGCCATCTGCTTCCACAAAACCTCAGGAATTGAATGTCCTGCCCATGGCCCACACAAGGCCCTGCATGAGCTGCTCCATCCCCTTCCCAACCTCCCCTCCTCTCTCTCTTCCCCTGCTCACTCTGCTCAAGACACACAGGTCTCCTCACTGTTCCTCAAACACGCCAGGTGTGGGCCTGCCCCAGGGCCTTTGCACAGGCAGTGCCTCTGCCTGGAACACCTGCCCCCAGATTTTCTTATGACTGACTTCTTACACTTGGGTCTTAGTGCACGCGTCACCTCCTCAGGGAGGGCCCCCCTGCCCACTCCCAGTGAATCTAGGCCCATTCATGACAGTCACCTTGTTTATTATGCACTAACTGTATACTAAGCCCAGAGACTTCAACTGTGGTCTCTTTTTCATCCTCCCAGTAAACCCATCCATCCATCCATTCACTCAGACATGAAACTCTGGACCCTCCAATTCAGAATCTGGGCCACCCAGTGCCTAGCTTTTTTTTTTTTTTTTTTTTTTTGAGACGGTGTTTCACATTGTCACCCAGGCTAGAGTGCAGTGGTGTAATCTCAGCTCACTGCAACCTCTGCTTCCCGGTTTCAAGTGATTCTTCTGCCTCAGCCTCCCAAGTAGCTGGGATTACAGGTGCATGCCACCTCACCCAGCTAATTTTTGTATTTGTAGTAGAGCTGGGGTTTCACCATATTGGCCAGGCTGGTCTTGAACACCTGACCTCAGGTGATCCGCCCTCCTTAGCCTCCCAAAGTGCTGGGATTACTACAGGCATGAGCCACCTTACCCGGCCAGCCTAGCTTCTTTGTGTTAATTAATTAATTAATTAATCATTCAGCAAATGTCTGTGAGCGCCTATTCTGTGCCACTGACCCAGCTGGGCTGGCCCTGGGGGAGAATCAACTTCCCCTGCAAATTCACTCTCATCAGATAGATCCCCAGGCTGGTCTAGGATTTGTTCAGACGCCCTTATGTTGGGGAGCTCATTCCTTACTAAGAATAACCACCACCAATACCAAAGAGTCTCAAGTGCCAGCAATAGTGGCGAGGCAAGTTCTCGGGGTGACTACAGCATCTGCTCCCAAGCCCAGCCCATATGGTGTGTGCTGTGTCAAAGAACCTGCGTTCGAATCCCATGTCCTTTTCTAGCCCTTGGACAAGCCCCTACCCATTTTGTGCCTCGGTTTGCCTAGCTGTAAAATGGAGATAGTAATGCCTCTCTCGTGGGCTCAGCACCGGGCCTGTTACACAGCTGGTGCTTAATAAATGTGTCTTGTTACTTAAGATCTGGTGTATGTAGCTCCTGTGGTCCCCATCCATGGGGATGAGCAGTGTAGAGAAGGGGTGGTTCGAGTTTCTGCGCATCAGGACACGGGGCGCAGTCCATGCAAATGAAATGCGAATCCCACGCAAATAAATCTATGCGCGGTGCAGGGCAGCGCACAAAGCTGGAGGTACAAGGTGCATGCACGGCGGGGGGGCACCTGGGGATCACGAGCCGAGCCCAGGCCCGGAGGCGCTGACCCACATCCAACCCGGCTTTCAGCGCTCGGTGTAAATGTTTACACCTGGCCGGCTGCCAGGCTCCTTGCCACCCCACACTAGGCAGCCGGGAGGGGGAATGTAAACTCGGGCTGGGGGCCGTGGGACGCTGGGGAGGAGCCCAGACAGCATTGGGTGTGGTGGGTGTGTACATGTGAGTTATTAAATGCTGACTACATGCAGTGAGAAGGATGCCACCAGGCACTCACAGCACCCAGTGCCCGAATGGGAAAAGCTCAGGGCATTGCTGGGGGCCCACTAGCGCCCCCGCACCAGCCAGAGGTTGAAGTGAATAGGGTAGGCAGTCATAGAAGGCTTCCTGGAGGAGGCGCCCTCCAAGCTGAGATTGCAAGGGGAGTGGGAGCTAGGTACAGTGGCTCATACCTGTAATCCCAGCTCTTTGGGAGGCCAAAGTGGGAGGATCACTTGAGCCCAGGAGTTTAAGACCAGGCTGGGCAACATTGTGAGACACCCCTATTAAACCAAAAAAAAAAAAAAAAAAATTAAAAAAAAAATTAAAAATTAGCCAGGCATGGTGGCTCACGCCTGTAGTCAGTCCTAGCTACTAGGGAGGCTGAGGTGGAAGGATCGCTTGAGCCTAGGAGGTGGAGGCTGCAGTGAGCTGTGATCACACCACTGCATTCCAGCCTGGGTGACAGAGCAAGACCCTGTCTAAAAAAAAAAAAATAGAGAAAAAGAGAGAGAGAGAGAAAGGAAAGAAGGGAGGAAGGGAGGAAGGGAGAAGGAAGGAAGGAAGGAAGGAAGGAAGGAAGGAAGGGAAGGGAAGGGAAGGAAAGGAAAAGAGGGAGGGAGGAAGGGAAAGAAAGAAAGAGAGGAAGTTGGGTGCGGTAGCTTACGCCTGTAATCCCAGCACTTTGGGAGGCCAAGGTGGGCAGATTACTTGAGGTCAGGAGCTTGAGATCAGCATAGCTAACAGGGTGAAACCCGTCTCTATTAAAAATACGAAAATTAGCCAGGTGTGGTGGCGGGCGCCTGTAATCCCAGCTACTGGGGAGGCTGAGGTGGGAGAATCACTTGAACCCGGGAGGCGGAGGTTGCAGTGAGCTGAGATCACACCACTGCACTCCAGCCCGGGCAACAGAGCGAGACTCCATCTCCAAAAGAAAAAGAGAAAATGAAAAAGAAAGGGGAGTGGCAGTGGGGAGGGAGGGAAGAAGTGTTCTCCAGGGAAAGACCTATCTGTGCAAAAGCCCGGAGCTGGGACTCAATGTCCGGGGCAGCTCTGGTCCATTGCTAACTACTTCTGGGCCTGCTTATCCATCTGGATGGGAAACAGGCTCAGAGAGGGGCAGAGTCAATGGAGGACACCAGCGTGTAGGGAACAGTGTCAGCCCCGGATTCCTGCCTCCAGACGATCCTAACCACCACCCTCCCCGCGCCCTTGTCCTACAGTGCCACCTGCCGGGAATGACCTGTCCTCCTTTCACTCTTCCCCCTGGCTCCTCAGCTGCAGTCTCTCCCGCCTCCTCGCTGTTCCTGGGATACGCCACGCTCAGTCCAGACTCGGGGCCTTTGCACTGGCTGTGTCCCCTGCCTGTGATGTCATTCTTCTCTGCCTGGTCAACTCCTACCTTTGTTCAAGTCTGGACCCTGTCATCGGCTCCTCAGGAAGGCACTCCGGGACCCCCAGATGGGGGTGGTTCCCTGTGACTCCTGGCACGGAGCCCAACCCCTTCCTTGTTCAATGGTTCCTTGAGGGACCATTCCCATGTGATTATCGACCATTTGGCAGGCGTTGTTCAAAGTCAAGGGCCCCACACTGAGTCCTGGCCCAGCGCCCTGCGCCTGTTCGTTGCTGGAGGGACAGACAGGGGGCGTGCGGCGGACCATCCTGTGCCCGCAGGCTGAGGATGCAGCGCTGGAAGGCGGCAGCCTTGGCCTCAGTGCTCTGCAGCTCCGTGCTGTCCATCTGGATGTGTCGAGAGGGCCTGCTTCTCAGCCACCGCCTCGGACCCGCGCTGGTCCCACTGCGCCGCCTGCCTCGAACCCTGGACACCCGGATTGCCCGCCTGGCCCAGTGTAAGCTCCTCCTCTGTGTGGGGTCAGATACCCCCAACGTAAGGGGTAGAATTTCAGGCAGTGAAGTGGGAGGTGGCGGGGGTCATAAGTTTTTAAAAGAGAGTGCCAGCCAGCCAGGCGCAGTGGCTCACACCTGTAATCCCAGCACCGTGAGGCGGGCGGATCACTGAGGTCAGGAGTTCGAGACCAGCCTGACCAACATGGTGAAACCCCGTCTCTACTAAAAATACAAAAATTAGCTGGGCGTGGTGGTACGTGCCTGTAATCCCAGCTACTCGGGAGGCTGAGGCAGGAGAACTGCTTGAACCCTGGAAGCGGAGGTTGCAGTGAGCCGAGATGGCGCCACTGCACTCCAGCCCGATGATGGAGTGAGACTCCGTCTCAAAAAAAAAAAAAAAAAAGGATAGGGCCAGCAAGCCCCGTTGCAGGGAGGCAGGGACAGACATCCTAAAAGATTATTCAGGGCAAGGCATGGTGGCTCCTGCCTATAATCCCAGTACTTTGGGAGGCCGAGACAGGAGGATCTCTTGAGCCCAGGAGTTCATGACCAGCCCCGGCAATGTAGTGAGACCTCCATCTCTACAAAAAACTTCAGAAATTAGCCAGGTGTGGTGGCGCATGCCTGTAGTTCCAGCTACTTGGGAGGCTAAGGTGGGAAGATCACTTGAGCCCACGAGTTCAAGGCTGCAACGAGCTATGATTGCACCACTACACTCCAGCCTGAGCAACAGAGCACGACTCTGTCTCAAAACATTATAATAATAAATACATTTTCTAAAAAAAGATGGGGTGGAGGGAGGTTGCAAATTCCCCCAATGGCCTGGTGGAGCTAGGGTGACTTCTGGGAACTGGGGTCTTTCGGCTTACCTGTCACAAGGAATTAGGCTCTGCCCTGAGGTCTTGTGGGGGCCAGATGGAGATTAGACCCGGGCATTTGTCTGGTTGGCCCCTGCGGCGCAGCGGTGGGGGGGCGGTGGGAGGAGTGAGAGGCTGGATCTGAGGTCCCAGTGATCTGCCCCAGGGGACAGGGACCAAGGGGAGGTGGGAGATGGAGCGGGAGCTGAAAACCAGAAGAGAGACCCAGAGATTTGGAGGGGTGAGGGGGGGTGGAGAGAGAGAGGAGAGACAGGGCTGGGGGCACAGACACGGGCAAAAGCACTGCTATAGGGACACAGAAATGCCCACCCTGAGGGCAAGACCCTCGCCCAACTCCCCACCAATCCCTAATGCCTGCCCCACCGCAAGTGCTGTGCGGTGAGGGTGGTGCCTGGCCCCTGACCCCTGTGCCCACGCACATGTCCATGCGTGCGCCTGTGTGGGCATCTGAGACGCAGACGCCGGCAGGGTGCGTGTGCAGTGCCTTTGGGTGTGGGCCATGAGTATGCCCGCGTGCACGTCTGCACCCGCCCCTGCCAGCCCACACAATCCTCTTTTCTTGTCCTTACAATGCACAAGGGTGGCCTCCGGCACGAGCTCCACTTCTGTCCTCCCACCACTTCCCTCTCTGCAAGTGGCATGAAGTCCTTCCTAGGACGTTGGGACAGAGACCCGGGTGGGGCTCCAAAAGCCAATGCTCCAGGACTTGAGGGGGGCAAAGCAGGAATGGAGGAATTTCAGGCACTGGGGAGGGTCGGGGCCCATGGACGGGTGCCTGCCTGCCCTACGGCAAAAAGGGAGCAGCCACTGAGTCCCCAAGTCCCCATGTTCTAGGCTCCATGGTAGAATTTCAGGCTGGGGACTTTGTGTTCTAGCCCCCCGTGCAAGCAGCCAGCCCCGTTGCAGAGAGGCAGGGACAGACATCCCAAAAGATTATTCATTGTTGCCGGGCGCGGTGGCTCACACCTGTAATCCCAGCACTTTGGGAGGCCGAGGTGGGCGGATCACGAGGTCAGGAGATCAAGAACATCCTGGCTAACACGGTGAAACCCCGTCTCTACTAAAACTACAAAAAAATTAGCCGGGCGCGGTGGCGGGCGCCTGTAGTCCCAGCTATTCGGGAGGCTGAGGCAGGAGAATGGCGTGAACCCGGGAGGCGGAGCTTGCAGTGAGCCGAGATTGCACTACTGCACTCAAAAAAAGTGATTATTCATTGTTGATATGGAATTCAGATTTAGCCGGGCATCTGTATTGTATCTGGCAAGCCCACAAATGTCTGCTTTGATGCACCCCTCTAGGGTTGGGCGTACCCCTAACTAACCCCCCAGCACAGTCCCGGCCACTCCAGTCCTGCTCCATGGCTTTAAGAACACGGACTAGGTTGCTCAGTCATCGGCCACCCCCCCGCACCGACTTCCCACCCTCTCAGCCCCAGCCAAGACAGAGATCATGCAAGCTTCATGGAACAGACAGGGCAACTGAGGCCTGAGGTTGCAAGTGGCGAAAGTGGCAGAGTCAGGCTCTGAGGCTGCGTTTGTCTTGTTTCTGAGACCCCCTGTGGGAACAGACATCTCCTCCCCTACCAAACCCCAGGAGACAGACAGCCCCTCCTTCCCCAGGGCCACCCAGAGGCTCATTCTTTTGACAGCCAGGTGCACCAGCCCTGGGGGCAGGTGGGGACTAAACTCAAGATTTCCTCTCCTAACCACAAGCGTGACTGCCACCTGCTCTGGGGCTGGGAGTCCTCTGCCTTCTGGTCCGCCAGTAGCGCTGCCTGTCATTCCAGCGTCTGCACTTCTCTCCTGGGGCTTCGGAGTTTGGGGGTGGAGCCAGCGCTTGGGTAATAAATTTAGGCTGCCAGGCCCTGGGAATCGGTGACTTGGGCACCTCCTGGCGAGTGTGGGAGAAGGCGGCTGGACCTGGGCCAAACTTGGGTGAACGGTGAAGGCAGGAAGAATGTCCTTTAAGCCCGTCTCTCTCGGCCACCTGGTAATGATGTGACCTTGGGATGGTCCGTTTTGTCACCTGTCACATGGGGGTGGCCCTGACAGTAGCTGCTGTCACTCCATGGAGTGGGGGCCCCACACAGGCCTCGAATGCAGTAGGCTGCAGTACCTGCTGCTCCTCTGCATTCTGAGAAACCCACCCCGATTCGTTTCTTGGATAGGGAAACTGAGGCTCCACTGCACAGTGGGGCAGCGGGGATGGAGGGAGTCTGAAAAACCCGGGAACTCAGAGCAAACGTCAGGGCCTGAAGAAGGGGCTCTAGAGATAGAGACCTATGACAGCCTCACTAAAGAGGGATGGGGCATGGGAAGCAGCCCCCCCGTGCTGCCCAGAGAGGGTGCACCAGTGTCCTGGGGCAGCCCAGCATAAGGGCGGGGTCCATATAGATTTGCGATGGAGGATGAGGAGAGTGGAGCAACAATGGGGTGAGAGAGGGGCCCAGAGGAGGTGAGTTAGAGACCCCGGTCAGCTTAGCTCAAGGTGAGACGGGCTGGAAAGCAGCGCAGAAAGGATGAACCAGGTTCTGGGTAGCCAATATAGGCTCAGGGTTCAGAAAGCGGTGCTGGACCAGCGTAGGGGTGTATGTACGTGCCCTCCAGTGCCGCCCAGAGAGGGTGCATGAGCAGTTCAGCAAGAGGGTGTGAAAATTTGGGATCTGGGAGTGAGACGAGAAGCCGTCCAGGTCTGGCGTCCCAGCAAGGGTCTTCATTTGCAGGGGTACAGCAAGGGTAGGGGGCTCCCTCCCATCCCTTGCACCCACTGACCCGCCTCCTTTCTCTTCCTCCCCTCGCAGACCGTGCACTGCTGCAGGGCGCCCCGGATGCGGTGGAGCTGCGCGAGCTGACGCCCTGGGCTGGGCGACCCCCAGGTCCGCGCCGTCGGGCGGTGCTCCGGCGGCGGCGCGCGCGTGCGCGCTCTGGGGCGCGGCCGTGCGGGCTGCGCGAGCTGGAGGTGCGCGTGAGCGAGCTGGGCCTGGGCTACGCGTCCGACGAGACGGTGTTGTTCCGCTACTGCGCAGGCGCCTGCGAGGCCGCCGCGCGCGTCTACGACCTCGGGCTGCGTCGCCTGCGCCAGCGGCGGCGCCTGCGGCGGGAGCGGGTGCGCGCGCAGCCCTGCTGCCGCCCGACGGCCTACGAGGACGAGGTGTCCTTCCTGGACGCGCACAGCCGCTACCACACGGTGCACGAGCTGTCGGCGCGCGAGTGCGCCTGCGTGTGACCCTACCTCACCCGGCCGGCGCGGCGGCCATTCTCCCCGCCCCGACGGCACCACCGGCCGGCCCCGCGACAGACTGCGCGTGCGTAGAGCACGCCGGCGCGGCCCCGGGACTCTCGCGATAACTGTACTGAGATAAAGTGTGGGAACTCGAACTGGCTGGTGATTCACCCTCGGCTAGGGGCTCGCGGGTGGCTCGCGTCGCCGTCTCCGCCGGGAAAGCGGGGACCAGTGGGGGGCCCAGCTGCAGGGTGGTGGGAGGATGCCGTTTGCTTTGGGGGAAGGGTAGATGCAAGGTGGCTCCAGTTTATGGCAGACAAAAAGGAAAAATGGGGTGAATGGGGCTATGTTGGCAGGGACCGTCTTTCCTGCCTCCCTACAGGTCCCTCTGCCCGTCCCGAGCGTGTCCCGGTCCGTACCTCTTTCCTGTGTGGGTTTCTGGGGAGGGGGAAGGGGAGCTACGCTCCGGATGAAGAGACCGAGGTCTAGGTGGACCCAGTTTCCCCAGCTTGTTCCCTGCCGCACCTCCCTTCCCCAGCTTATTCCCTTCCGCACCTCCCTTCCCCAGCTTATTCCCTTCCGCAGTGTGGGCTTCTGGGATGAAGAGTCTGAGGTCTAGGTGGACCCAGTTTCCCCAGCTTGTCCCCGACTGCACCTCTCTGCTGTGTAGACTTCTGGAGAGGGGGAAAGGGAACCACACTGGGGGTGAGGAGCCTGAGGTCCAGGTGGAATCAGTTCCCCAGAGTCTCCCCGTCCGCACTTCTCCCGCTATGTGGGCTTCTAGGGAGGGGGAAGGGGGAGCCACTCTGGGTGAGGAGACTGAGGTTCAGGTGGACCCAGACCTCCCTTACCCGACGGCCTCCTCGGGCCGGTCTTCCCCCACCAGGGTGAGCTGAAAGCCACTATCTCCTTTCCTCCAGCTACTAAAAATACCCGCACGCTGCCCACCTCCCGGCGGGGAGAGGCCTGGGGCGGGCGCCAGCCCCATCCAGCCCGAAGCCGGCGCCTGCTAGGGTAGAGCTGGGTCCCCAGAGACCTGGGTCCTCGGCCCATAAAAGCCCTGGCCGGGCCTCGAGGGGGGATTTACGACAAGCCCCTGCGGAGGATGGAAAAAGCCCGGCTCGGTGTTTAGATTTGCCCACGGTGTCACCTTGATGCTTGGCAGGCCTGGGGTGTTGGGTTGCCAGAGCGCGGGAGGGGTCGGCGGGTCCCACGGTCGGTCTGAGGGGCGGGGAAGGGGCGGGCATTGCGAGCCCAGGACAGGCACCGACGAGGCGAGACTCCTCCCCTCCTGCCCCTCAGACTGGGGGTTCCCAAGGTTACAACCCTTCCCCTTAGCTGGGCCCCCTCCACTCCTTCCCACACGTCCGCCCTTAGGACCACCCTCTAACCACAGTGTCCCTTCCCAGGTTCAGCCCGCACCTCCCCGCGCCCCCCCCCCCCCCCCCCCCCGGCAAAGCTGGAGGGCACAGATCAGAAACTGCCCCCAGGGAGAATCACCCAGACATAGAGGAGCATCCCTGGCCCCAGGCTCCTGGGGACCTACAGCTACAGCTAGAGACACTCAAGGAGGCTAATGAGCAGGACTTCCAGGGGGCCCTGAGAATAGGGCTGGGCGGCCAGGCCCAAGCCCGTGGGTGGTCTGCTTGGGAAGCAGTTTCAGGGCTGCCGCTGGCTGGGGTCCCTGCCCACCCCCGCAGTCTTCTGGCTCTGAGGTTTGAGGTGGTGGATTCCTCCACCATTTGGGCCGACTCAGCCTGGCCTCCGCAGAGAGCCCAGAGTTTCCAGACGCTGCGGAAGCCCAAGTGACGCTTACTCTGAGCCTCAGTTTCCCCATCCTAGATGGCCTGGTCTCAGAGAGAGGAGTGTTGTTCAGCCCAGGACGCACAGTGAGAAAGCTGACCCTCAGGGGTCTGCCGCCCCGGAAGCTCACACATGCCACTGTGTGCATGTGCATGTGAGTGTTGTCCACCCTCCGGGGCCTCCCAGACCTCAGCCTTCCTGTCTGTCACCCAGATCCAGTGTCCCAGCCACAAGGCACCAGGCCCAGCCCCCCAGGGAATTGGAGCATAAATAAACGGAGAAGCCCCTGCAATTCCCTGGGGCCGCGGTTGTCATCAGCCCATAGGCACACCGGATGAGGGTCTCACAGACACAAGCACACTCACGAGACACAGAGACCACCACCCACAAGGGGTCAGCAGGCAGGACCCATGATCCTACACAGTCACCTTCCACACTCAGAACTGTACACTCAGGAAGGGACACTCCCTCTTTCTTTTTTTTTTTTCTTGAGACAGTCTCATTCTGTTGCCCAGGCTGGAGTGCAGTAGTGCGATCACGGCTCCCTGCAACCTCTGCCTCCCGGGTTCAACCAATTTTTGTGCCTCAGCCACCTGAGTAGCTGGGATTGCAGGCACCGGCCATCACACCCAGCTAATTTGTTTGTTTGTTTTGTTTGAGAGGAATCTCAGTCTGTAGCCCAGGCTGGAGTGCAGTGGCGCGATCTCGGCTCACAGCAACCTCCAACTCTCTGGTTCAAGCGATTCTCCTGCCTCAACTTCCCAAGTAGCTGGGATTACAGGCACGCACTACCATGCCCAGCTAATTTTTGTACTTTTAGTAGAGATGGGTTTCACCATGTTGGCCAGGATGGCCTCAATCTCCTGACCTTGTGATCCTCCTGCCTTGGCCTCCCAAAGTGCTGGGATTACAAGCCTGAGCCACTGTGCCCAGCCCGGCTAATTTTTTTTTTTTTTTTGTATTTTTAGTAGGGACTCGGTTTCACCATGTTGGCCAGGCTGGTCTTGAACTCCTGACCTCAGGTGATTCTCCCACCTCAGCCTCCCAAAGTGCTGGGATTACAGCCATGAGCCACCGCGCCCAGCCTGAGAGGAACACTCTCAAAGTCACTTCTCATTCACAAAAGCACACAGCATCAAACCTATGGTCACAGACACACACTCAGGGTGCACACATAGCCCCAGTCACTCACAATCCATTCCATCACATCTGCTGACACACTTACACACATGCACAGCCCTGCAGCAGCCACAGAGTGAGAGACCCACATAGACACAGCCCTGCACACTCAGAGAGGGGCCCCTGAACTGTCCCGGATGCAAAGGCGCACTCAAGGGCAAGACACGGTGGCTCACGCCTGTAATCTCAGCCCTTTGGGAGGCTGAGGCGGGATGATCACTTGAAGCCAGGAGTTCAAGACATAGTGAGAAACCACTGGACAACATAGCGAGACCCCATCTCTCAAAAAAAAAAAAAAAAAAAGAGCTGGGCGTAGTGGTGCATGCTTGTAGTCCCAGCTACTTGGGAAGCTGAAGTGGGAGGATCACTTGAGCCCAGGAGTTCAAGGCTGCAGTGAACTGTGATCATGACACTGCACTCCAACCTGTCTCTAAAACAATAAACAAATAAAAATAAAAAACACTCCCAGGGCATTTACGGTCAGTCTCACGCTTGGAACAATCACCACACGAATACACACCCCTGTTATACGTAGTCTGCATGACGTAAACACAGTCACACCTGCAGCCACACCCACAGTGATGCGTTCCTAGCAGCCATACGGTGGCAGTCACACTGAGTGTCGCCCCAGCCATGGGCATTTCCATGCTGAAGGTCACCCACACGCCCACCACCTTCTTTCTCAGGGAACCTCTGCTCTTCTCCGTCCTGTCCCTAATAACTCAGCTGACTTATCTGGCCCCACCTGGCACTGTGTCTGGGCAGGGAAGGTCCCCTTGTCCCAGCCAGGCCCTACTTTGACCCCCAGGCAGCTTGGGCCCCACTCCCCACCCACACTGGTCCTTCCTCACCCCACTCTGTCAGAGCCCACCCCCGGGAAGCAGCTGGAGATGTACCTCACAGAGCTCCGACACCTACTGCCAAGGCCATAGAAAGGTCTAGAACAGGGTTTTTCTATCTCTGGACACTTGGAACCAGATTGGTTGTGGTTGTGTTGTGGGAGCATCCTGTGCATCGTAGGGGGTTCGGAGTAACCCGGCCTCTGCCTGCTAGGTGACCTCATCCCCCTTCCTCACTTCGATGGCCAAAAGTATCTCCAGACCTTGCTGAATGTCCTGGGGGCAGAATCACCCTGGGGAGAGAACCACTATCCTAGAATGAGGAGAACGCATCATCAGCTTTCTTCCTTTCTTTCTTTCTTTTTTTTTTTTTTTTGAGATGGAGTTTTGTTCTTGACACTCAGGCTGGAGTGCAATGGCGTGATCTGGGCTCACAGCAACCTCCACCTCCTGGGTTCAAACAAGTCTCCTGCCTCAGCCTCCCAAGTACCTGGGATTACAGGCACCCACCACCACGGCCGGCTAATTTTTTGTATGTTTAGCAGAGATGGGGTTTCACCATGTTAGCGAGGCTGGTCTCAAACTCCTGACCTCATGTGATCCACCTGCCTTGGCTTCCCAAAGTGCTGGGAGTACAGGCATGAGCCACCACGCCCGGCCTCATCATCGGTTTTCTTTGCAATATTACATCTGGAAACGGTACCGTCATTGTCCCTCTGCAGCCCTCACAGGCAGCTAACAACTTCACCAACAAATCAGCCAGAACCATCACGCATGGGTGGGGCCCCAAGGGCGCCAGTTCCCAGGGCCCAGTGCCCTCCAGGGTGAGGTCCCCAGGAGGCAAGGCTCCTAGCAGGTGAGATTCAGTGTGGCAAGGTCTCTGGGAGCAAGTCCCAGCAGGTAAAGTCCCCAACAGCCGAGGTCCCCAGTAGGCAGAGTCCCCAGGAGATGAGGTCCCCAGCAGGCCAGGCTTCTGCAGGGGACGCTCCTGGAAGCCAGCATGTGAAATCCCAGGTAAGTGACATGCCTGGCCACCAAAGACTCCAGCAGGTGAGGTCCCAGGAAAGTGAGGACCCAGGCAGGCGAATCCCTAGGCAGGTGAAGCTGCAATATGTGACCATCCCAGGCAGCTGAGTCCCCAGGCAGGTGAGTCCCCAGGCAGGTGAAGTTTCATGCAAGCGAGTCCTTAGGTAGATGAGGCCCCACTCAGGTGAGGCCCCTGGAAAATGAGGTTCCCAGCAGCCCAGGCCCCACACTGGCCTCTCAGGTGAACCAAGCCGCTATGCTGCGCACCGTCTGGTACCTGGATTCCTCCTGCAGTTTCCAGCAGGCCTTGCAGAAATCCAGTGCCCAGCTAGAGAAGCGAGGCCGCAGCGTCTCCCGCCAGCGGAAGTAGCTCAGGTAGCGGGCGTGGTCCTTGTCCAGCTCCTGCAGGTATCGGGCCAGGTCCTCAGGGCTCTGGAAGTCGTCCACGTGGATGAAGGCGTCGGGCGGCAGGAACCTCTCGTAGTTGCTTCTGCTGGGCCCCAGCACCACGGGCACGGCCCAGGCCTCCAGGGCGTTCCTCCACAGCTTCTCGGTGATGTAGTCGGGGTGCAAGGAGTTCTCGAAGGCCAGGTAGAACTTGTACCGGGACAGCGTCTCCATCATGGTCCCCCTGGGTAGGGGCTTGTGGGATTTCCCATACACATCCACCTTGAGATGGGCCTGCAGGCTCTGGTAGTAGCGCACCCTGGCCGAGTCCGGCTTCCAGTTGGACACCGCCCAGGCCACCAATTCGGTCTTGGCCGAGAGGTTGAGCGGTGGGTGGGCAGGCTGGCCGGACCGTGGCTCCAGCCAGCCGTAGGGCGTGAAGATGTCGGAGTCGCTGCGGTAGGACATGGTGAGATTGAAGTATCCGTCCAGGGCCTGCAGGTGCCAGCAGTGGCTTGGGGACTCCATGCTGAACCAGATCCAGCGCTGCCCCTGCGGCCTAGTGTGGGGCGGGAGGTTGGCACTGGGATCGTACATGATATCCCGGTGGTGCACGATGACCGCATCTGCCTGTGGGTACACCTTGCGATCGGCAGTAATATGGCAGTCGGCCGTGGCAGGCACCATCTCTGAACAGCGGGACAGAGCCACGGGGATGTGGAAAGGCCACGTCCACAGCAGGATCAGGAGGGTGGGGCGCGTGGGAGTGGTGTCCTGTCGGGAGGACCCACTGGGAGCCCGGGTGACAGGTTCCACGGCCATGAACCCTGGCCTAGGGAACCCAGTGGCATCGTCTCGGGACACACGTAGGTAGGAGAAGAAACACACAGCCACCAGCAACTGAAACAGCAGCCCGGCCAGACAGCGGCGCCACGGCCATTGTGGCTTGGCTGGGCCCAGGGGATCCATGCGTCAGAGTAGCTGGGAAGAGAGGAGAGAGGAGTGAGGGTCATTGATGACAGTCACCTGCTTACCAAAGCTCCCGGCCATGAGTCCTGAGAGGAGCTGCTATTATTCCTGTTTCACAGATGAGAAAACCAAGACCAAGTGACTCACAGCAAAAATCAGCACAGCTGGTGTTTGAACAAAGGGAGCTTGGCCCAGAGTCACCTCCTCACACCCATTAGACAACAGGCCCCCTCTCTGTATGCGCTAAGGGTCCCTGGGGAAGGCGGAGAGGCCCAAGGGCCCTCAGGTCCCATCTTTTTTTTTTTTTTTTTTTTTTTTGAGACGGCAGTCTCGCTCCTGCACCCCAGGCTGGAGTGCAGTTGCCCAGATCTCGAGCTCACGCAAAGCTCGCCTCCCGTTTGCAGCCATTCTCCTGCTCAGCCTCCGAGTAGCTGGGACTACGGCGCCCGCCGCCATCGCCCGGCTAAATTTTTAGTTATTTTTAGTAGAGACGGGGTTCCACCGTGTCAGGCCAGGGATGTCTCGATCCGGACTTCGTGATCCGCCCGTCTCGGGCCCTCCCAAAGTGCTGGGATTACCAGGCTTGAGCCACCGCGCGCCGGCCCTCAGGGTCCCATCCTTGATCTATCCTTTTCCTGTTTGTCCCCGCTCTCCCCAATTGGAGAAGGACACGGCGATCATAAATGGGCCCCAGGGCCCCCTGAGGTGAAGCTTGAAACCAGACTTACTGGGGGAGGGCACATGGATTGGTTTTGGAGGTAATATAAGAGCTCACCAGGTAGAGTAGACCTGTGGGAAAGGATGCTTCTGGCAGAGGAAACCATCATTGCCAAGGCCTAGTGGGGAGAGACCCCTGAGCAGTTTGCAGAGAAAGCAAAGGAAGTACTCAGGGCTGCCAGTTTCAAGTTCATATTAGGTTGGTGTAAAAGTAATTGCTGTTTTTACCATTGAAAGTAATGGCAGCCAGGCGCGGTGGCTCAAGCCTGTAATCCCAGCACTTTGGGAGGCCGAGACGGGCGGATCACAAGGTCAGGTGATCGAGACCATCCTGGCTAACATGG